TCTTCCCAATGTTATTCAAGTTGTCTTCAAGGAAATTCTCTCAATAACAATCTTTTCTGGTCTCTTGAATAGCGTTGTAGAGAGAGTCTCCCTGTAAAATAGCTTTAAAAATTTTAAATGCTGATAAAAAAATAGATATTGGAGTCATCTGTAATTTCAGCATATATGCGTTTATATTTTTGCGCGCATAATCTTTTTGAAATGTGATGGTGTTTTTGTAAAAATGACGAAAACTTTTCGCTTGTCTTACTTGATATAGAGCGTGTAAAATGTGCTTGATTGAATTTCTAGGATCATTTTTATGGAATAAAATGCAGGAAAATAACAATACAGTGGACCCTCGGTCATGAAACCTAATCAGCTCCAGATAAAAGTTTGTTGCCTGAAAAAATTGTAAACTGAATTTGATTTTACCTTTTACTTCCATTGGGAAGAATCAAATGCATTATTCTGTGAACCTAAAACTCAGATTGTTCCATAAATTTCAGCCTCGAAATCAAATTCTGAATTTTCCAGTTTTGAATTTTTCCTCTGAAAAAAAAGTTGACAAAATTTTGGCTTGTTAACCGAGGGATTTTTCCTGGAAACCAAAAGTTTAGTTTAACCAAGGATCCAATGTATAGCAAGATTTGAGAAAATTACAGCAGGTGAACCTTGATAACTTGAACCTTCCTAAGTTGAATGCCCCCTAAGTCAAATTTTTTCAGGTCCCCATCTGAATCCCCTTAGAAACAAAACATTAAAAACCTCCCTAATTCAAACGCTTTTTCCCTTGAACCTCAATAAGTCAAATTTTCTGTGGCCTGCTGGCCATTATTTTCTTGACCCAAGAAAGCAAAAAAGCAATAAAAACAGAAATTTGTGTGTTTTGAAGGAAGCGAAAGACTTATTTGGGCAAATGAACCCCTGCCTTCAAGTTCAGCAGCCTTTCAACTCATTTCATCCCCAGAATATAACCATTTTCATTTTTTTTTTATAAATTTCTCTGAATAAAGGGCTTTCTGTCGTAGTTCAAACCTTTGTAATTCAAAACCCCCCTAAGTCGAATTTGTTTGCAGGTCCCTTGAAATTCGACTCAAGAGAGGTTCAACTATCTTTAAAGTGAGTAAAGGATAGAACTTTGTTGAAGAACGCGTTTGCCGGAGATTTTTCTATCCGTCACAGTAGGTGTGCTCACCTGCTTTCAAAGACGGGTTCCGCCTGCGATTTTCCTTGCACGGTGTCATCACTGCCACACAGGTGAGTAGCTCTTTTTATCCCCCTGGATGTGGTGAAATCGACTGCTCCTCCTCCTCCTCAACTCGGTTGTCACAGGTAAAAAACCATTTACCCCCTCAGGGGGTTCCTCCATTACAAAAATACACATATGCATGCATGCCCACCACCGACTAAACGGGGTTCATCTTGGCACCTGCCTATTCTGTGGGTTCACCTTGTCCTTCTGCACCTGCGCCCGAAAACCCCTTTGTGTCGGGCATTCATTCTTGAATCGCTTCTCTGAGAGGTCCTTTGCCAAACCCCGGGCTTTGGTGGAAAATTCCCAGAAGCCGGTGATTTTCTATAAAAAGGTTCTTCACAAAAATAAATTACACGGGGGTGTGTGTGTTTGTGTGGCGTGAGTCAACTCAACTCAAAAAAATGGAGGGTTTAAAGCTTGTTCTTGGAATTTTAGCGGGAGAAAAGGAATCCTTTGGGACAACCCCAGAGTGTACAGACACTTACAATGTGGCCGGAAAAATTTTAAAAAATATTCCTCGGAACTAGGCTCAAGGTGAAGGTTTAAAAGGAAGTGTTCATGTTGGGGCGGCATTTCAATTGGGAATAAAGAAAAAATATATATATACCGCAGATTTCTGAGATTTTAGCCCTATAAAAAATAAACATAGTTCCCTGGAAATTTTTTTTCTTTCAAATAACTGAAATGAGGCTTGTGCAGTTGAAATTGTTGAACATTGTAAATACAGTATTGTAATTAAATCCCTTTTTCACGTTTAGTTATAGAATTACATTCATTTTGACTTGGGTTTTTCTCCAATGAGATGTTGTGCCTCATTTGTTCAACTCAATGCTGGGACTTCACGCATGATTATTATTTTATTTTGATTGCTAAAAATTTTCCACAGGGAAAAATTATGCATTAGCTGATGTTATGGCAGCAGCAATAATTTATTATCATGCTAGCATTCCCTTATTTGTCACATGAGCTTGCACATATGCACTGAAATTTGTGAAAACTTTCGCCCTCCTACAACAAACAATTAAACGCCAAAAAAAAAACTAACGTAGACGTGTCGGTACGAGTAGTTAGCCTCAGATTTTGCACAGTATCTATAATAATCTAGGTACTTTGAAGGTGATTTTTGCTGAAGAGTCAAGTGCAGTTTTTCAAAATAACCTTCATCGCAAAAGATATTCCAATTCGGACGAAAGATTTGAAATGCAGGTTTCCTACAAACTTCTAGAAGTAAATTAAAAATAATTTTCATTCCAAGTTTATCCAGGTTTATTACGACTGAAAATATCAATGAAGTGTGAATTTTCTGTCGATTGCATCAGATATCCTAATCATCAGTGCTTCTATTTATTCGTGAACGAACTGGTTCACGCAACCACGACGGGTTCGCTTCGTTTTGACGGAATGTTTCCTTGTAAGATATACGTCTTCCTCAAGGTGCTCAAAGGAAAAACATTTCCTGTCTCATTCCGGAAGGAAGAAAGGAAGGAAGGATGCAGATGACCCTTAGGTTCCGCCGCAAGGAACAAAAACCCCGTCATGTGTTCCTCGTTATTCAATAGAACCTTATACCGACACACGATCCCAGCAGCAGGCCAGGACACAAAGTAAATGAAAAATAAATGAAAGGTGAAAATCGAGAAGAATACACAATAATATTTAAAAAAAAAACTGTAATACAGAAAAAAAATTGTGGATGCAACTCCTCACTGCGATGCAGATGAATGTGCAATAATACTTGAAAAAAAAAGGTGGAAACATTTTTGTGGATTTAACTCCTTGCTGATGATGTCAGGGATAGTTAAAATCCAGACAAAGAATTTATATGAAATTATATGAATGCACACCATGGGCCATTTGTGGCTGAGACCAAGTCTCCTCAAATGTTTGTATAGCTGTTTCAAATGTATTTGCAATTATTCAAGATTTCACTTTTCAGGAATTCAACAGAGATCCAAACACAGCAATTCTTGAGAGGTTTTGAAGATTTCTTTGGTTTTCAGCGGATGTGGAGTTTCCTGGGTAGTCTAGTTTGTATCCGGTTTTGAGAGTCCAGTTTTCATGGTCACTCAGGTTTTGTAAGTTTTTAGTAGGTTCTTTGATCTAAACCTCATGCAGAAAAAAGCTGAAGAGCTTGTGCTTTGAATTAATTTTTAAATATATTTTGTTTCCAATTTCAGGGAATGAATGGGTGCATGCATACATGTCAGATGTATTTCAAGGATAATTGTATTCTCTTTTATTTTTGTTATCAATTTGCGCTCTGTTTCCTGCTCTGAAGTGGTTAAAGTTCATTGAGTGGATTTGGGTTAGGTGGGAAGGGGGTTTGGGTGTGGAAATTGTGATTGAACCTTGTGAACGCTGAAAATTGGTAAATAAAGTGCTCTGTTCATTCATTCATTCATTTGATTTTGTGTGTGCATGGTGTTCTGTTGCCTTGTGTTTGTCAGATGAACTCTTGCGGTCCATGAAAAATGATGAGCATGACTGAGCAGTCAAACCTCTCTAAGTTAAATTTCAAGGGACCTGCAAACAAGGTAGATTTTAGGAGGTTTCAACTTTGGGGAAAATTCCAGTTATGGAGGTTTTGAGTTAGGGAAACAAGACAGGAAACATAGAAGAATTGCAGGAAATTGTAAATGGTGATATTCTGGGCCTTGATTTGCTTCTTAAATGACTTGACAGAATGCTGAACTTGGTGGCACGGGTTCATTTGCCCAATTACAGTCTTTCACCTCCTTTCAAAACACACCCAAGGTATTTTTCATTGCATTTCTCTTTTCTGTGTCAAGAAATAATAGCCAAAAGGTCACAGAAAATTCAAGTTATGCAGGATTGAGAGGAGAATCCTTCAGTTAGACAGGCTTTTAATAAATACATTGTGTCTCATCAGGGAATTCAGATGGGGACGTGAAAAAAATTTTGACTTAGGGAGGTATTTGACTTACAAAGGCTTGACTTACTGAGATTCAACTGTGTATAGAGGTGAAGAACATGAATATTATGGGGGAAAAGTAGGATTGATTGAAGAAAAGGAGAGACAGGATTGCTGCTGATGTGGACACCATCAGCAGCAGCAGAGCTTTATTGAAGTTACCAGAGCTGTGTATAGACTTGGCTTCCGCTGCGGAACTGATATGCATCTCGCTGACCACTTCCTGAAACGCCGAAGTCTCATAACCAGGGCTCGGGGTTCACTCGAGAAGACAATCATTTCGAGGACGTGTTTCTTTTGTTTTCTTTTATCCCAGCACTGGATGATGAATCCTTTTCACGGGGATGCTGGACAAGCCCACGTTTTCCACGATGCCGGTTATTCCTATTTACTTGGATTTTCTTTAAATAGCTGTTTTAAATTAGTATTGTAAATTTATGTGACGAGTCATTGCCAGCATGCGCACATTAAAAAAAACAATTTCAAAGAAAAATTTGGTTTTATTGTGTCATACCTGCTATAGAAGTGCGAAGCGTTCATTGTTTTTTAAACTGTGGTGCCGAGTGTCCATTTCTTATGAGCAGATTTTCATCTTTTGGAAACCACTGGAGCCTCAAGAAAAAAGGAATACCAAATAAAAATCCTGGAAAAGAGTTTATTTGAGCTTAAAAACCACTTATTAAATTCCCATAAATCCCTATGGCTTTGAAGATGCTGTCCATTGTAAGCTGCTGGTATCACTCCCAAAATATATAAGTTTTTCTTTTTGAAGTTCAAAATTTGTTCATCTAAAAAAAAGTTGGTCCTAGGAATCTGTTCTTTGGAGCTAGTTCATCTTTTGGATATCTCGTTCACCCTAAAAAAAAAAGATGGAATAGCACATAAAACCCATTGAAGAAATTTCAGTTGAGCTTGAATTCTCACATTCAACTTTTATACAATTTCTTGGTTTTTGCGCCCAAAATACAACTTAAGTTTTTTTTCAAGTTTAATTTTAAGTACTGATTCAAAAAAATGAATTTAATATACAGTGTTGTGGCTACTTTTCTGTGCACAGACACTGACAGGTATATTTTTATGTTTGTATTCATGATACGAAAATTTTCCAGATGATGATGATGCAATTCCCAACACTTGGAGATTTCATATATTGTATACTGTATAATGGAATGAAAAATGTCAAGCATTCACATATTAGCTCTTATTGAAGTTGATGCACCTGCTGGCCTAAACAATAAGGCAAATCTAGCCAATACATGACATAGTAATACTGTATCCATGAAACATATCATATTTTCGAATGTATGTCATGGAATAAGCACGTCAGGCTTAACGTCACCAAGCAGTTTAACGCTAGACATTGATTATAGGAAATCTATGGAAATTATCGAAAACATTGTCATTGAACAAATGTTGATACCAAAAACTCGTGCTAATTTGTGATTGAAAAATGAAAAATACTTCACCAGTGTTACGTATAGCTAGAGCCTATGATCTTTTTATTATTATTTACATTTGACTGATGTTCATAAACGTCTATGAGATGAATAATTGAATTATTTGTTGCTCTTTTTAAACTTTAAATTCGCCAGTGAAGATAAAAGGTGGACAAAAGCTTTCTGCGACTTGGATAAGCAAAAGCACCATTTATCATTTTCACGCCTCACTTCGAACAAGTTCGTTGCACACTTGACATATTTTTTAAAAATTCCTATCTTCGACTGTGCGGGTTCATTTGAAGGGAAATGAGCTTTAAAATTTTGTGCGCGCCGTTCGAAATTCAGAGCGTCCTGGAAAACTCAATAATCTTCTTTAGCCCCCTTGAATGTTGGAAAGAGTAACATAAAATAAGAAGCAACTAACCCAGAAAGTGAGATGTTGATGGAAACTAGAAGGCAATAGTTTCTCACCTGTGCTGCTGGCGGTCACCTGGCGTGTAAGGTCACGTCCCTCTCCCTCATTCTATCTTGTATCATCACGCACTTCTCGAACACAATGTTTTTATAGTCATCACTCCCATTTTTAGACTCCGCATGTCTCTATTGAAGGGCAAAACAAGAAAAGAAAGCCTTACAAATTTATCTTGACAATTCATCGGTTTTTTCTTTCCGAAACGAAAGTTGGCGAGTTGGCGTATAAACTCGATTATCAGCGTTTCATCTGAAGTTAAGTACAGTATTAATTGAAAAACTTTATTAAAATCGTATAGAGATAAGTTTCTCGTCAAGATTTCGGGGATATTAAAAACTTATCTAGCATTGCTTTATTTGCTGTTCTGCTCATTTTATGCATTTTCCACTAATGTCCGAAAAAAATGCATGTTCGTTTCTATTTTCATTAGAACGTCCCGCAAAAAGAGACTAATATTTATTCGACCTACTATACCTCACAACAGTGAAAAAAATAGTGTATGTATTGTATTTCAAAAGTTTCCAGATAAAATTTTGAAAATATTCTTCAACAGGTTTTAATTTAAATGCTCAAATAATTTTTGGTCGCGTATAAATACTAGTACAGTATCAAAATCTGGTAAGGTAAAATAAGTTACGGTATACAGTGATTTTGTGAGGATGAAGTCATTAGTTTTTTTTTTTTTGAAGGATATATACATTGGCCAAGAACTTTCTTACAAGTGCTGTTATTTTTGAATGAAACGTCAAAGCGTGCTTCAATAATTTTCCTCTCAACTTTGGTAAGAAAACGCGTGTCAGAGTAGTTTTTCAGAAGGGATTACAATACTTCGAAAAAAAGATTATGGGGTTCCTTTGTATTCCATCCATCTCGTGTATGCTCTCAAAACAATTTTTGAGCTATTCTGTGTAAGAGATTGTCTTCCGATGCTACTTGTTATAAATGTCCCAACTATACTGAACATGATTTCAAATAAAACTAAATTTTCGAAGTCATGCCTTGCCTCCAGAAACGCTTCTTCTGGTCCATATATTTATATAAAGTGTTGTTAGAGATTAAGAAGTCTCAACAAAGAAAATATGAAGAATGATAAATGAAACAAAGCAATCAGCCTGGGACTGGCTGGGACCCTCTTTATATAGAGGCCCCAAAAGAATTGAGTATTTAATAATGCCCCAAAGAATAATTAAACTCAGAGAATTTTGGACTTTGCACACACATACTTTCACACAACACAATGGTGAAATCAGATGTCTCAAGAGCTCTTCACACTTCAAGAATTGGCAGTGGAATGAATTCATTGCTATACGTTTTTGGAGACAGAAGAAAGAGAAGGAAAGTGGTTTTCCTTGTGTGCCAAATATTGGCCTCTGATCCACTGATTTTGTTGTAATCAAAGACCATGCTGTACATTGCTGTACAATTCCTTTGGGACTTGTTCTTTGGCGGTGCTGGGCCTCTACCAAAGAATGAGTTTTTGGGATGTAGTGGGAGTTTATTATTATAATTATTTATCAGCGCCCGACTCAGTCCCCAACAAGTATCCCGCGTTTAAAGAAATTCGCATATCCGGATTTTACTTTTTTTTCCTTTACGTATATTTTATATACCCCCACATTTGGGATAATGCAGAAGAAACTCGACTTAGAGTCTCTACATGCATATATGAGATGATTAAATCCAGCCCAGCACACCTAAACATCTGAGTGCATCAACCCTTGCCTCGTCAGCGAGAAAGAAGAGGAAGGCAAAAGTCAGTCACCAAGAGCTCCAGCATGATGCTATGTGGGCTTGTTGCAGCATGATGATGTGTAAGTTCCCCCTCGTCGTCGTCTACTCTGATAACGTCTGGTTTTCGTAATAGCCAAGCTCCGAGTCAAGTGATGACGTATATTCCCAACTTCTTTCTGGAAGAAGGAAAAAAAAAGATGAATGAAATTAAAACGTAACAATTGAGGCATTTGGTATAATTTCAGGAAGGGTTTCGATGGACCAGATGATAAGCATTTGAGGCATGTAAAATATATTGGTACAGTCAAACCCTGATAAGATGCCACCATTTGTCCAGAGCAGTTTTGTTGGTTGAAAGGGGTTGGTGGTTTATCAAATATTTCATTTTTAAATTATTTGGTAGAAAATACTTGATTTTTCTCCAAAAGTCATAAGGATACAGGTTTTCTAGAAACTTCAGTAATTTTCCAAAGAATATTGCTGTGATCAAGGGAATACCATATTTACTCAAGTACCACGTGCCCTCAAGTAAGGCGTGCACATAGGTTTTCCAGTTGAAACTTTGGCTAAAATTGTATCCCCAAGTAAGATGTGCACCCCAATGTTTAGTGAATCTATAACCACAAAATTTTGAAAATAAATACAAAAAATCAACTGTAGACATGAATTGAAAAGAAATCTGATCAATTTTCAACTTTTTCAGTACAAAAAAGTTTTCTTGTTATATTTTTTCCAAATTTCTCCATTATAATTAAGTATAATGCATGCATAATTTCCTAAAACTTCTTGAACAATTTGTACCCGCTTATGACGTGCACCCCTTTTTTTCTTCTGAAATCTGAGAAGAAAGGTGCACGTGGTACTTGAGTAAATATGGTACATGTTCAGAAAATTAATTTTGTTGCCTGAATTTATTCAAATTATTAGATTTGGTCCATATATTGTTCAAATTTTTTCAAAAAATGATCATTATTATTATTTCATTCTTACAAATACAAGATCCTTGACAGAAATTATGATTCTACCCCAATGTTGGAGTTGTATCAAAGACAAAACTAATAGGAAACAGCACTTTTGTTTCATCACTAATCCCAGCAGATGGCAGTTGGTGTCTTATTGAGGTTTTCTATATACAATTTAACATGGAGAACAATTGTTTCATTCAAAATGTTGGCAGTTGCCAAGGGTGATGGTGCATCATCAGGTGGCATCTTACTGGGGTTTGACTGTACTGTACAGTACTTCAGATGATCCACATGCAGAGAGATAGAAAAGCAGAGAGAGGATGAAGAAAAAGGAAAGAAACAAATAACAGGAGATGGAAAAAGAAACGTATATTCCAGTTTTGTTTTATTTTTATTTTACCCTATTCATTTTTCCCCCTCTTCCCTTTCCTTCTCTGTAATAAGAGAAGTTGTTGTGTCTGCTTTGCACAGGTTATTCGGTTAACAACGCGATGGGTTTAGCTTCCGCGGTACAACGGGTCATTCTTGGGATGGCTTTAACTTCGTAACATTTCTGAGAACCTGTTACGACTTCATTTATTCTGCCAGGATTATTAAAAGAAATTCTCTACTTTTATTTAAGTGGAAAAAAGCGACGTTTACTTCCATTTACATCGCCGTTGAATAATTTGATGATTTACGCATATAGACAACAAACTTGATCGATTAAAAAAATGTATAAATTCATCAGCACTAAGAACTCGAACAGCTCAAATATTCTCTGGAGAGTAGGAAAAAACAGGGAAAAATTTTAATCCATTCCCCGATAGGTGCTTCACATAGACACCAATTTAAAACGTCACAAATACTTTACTGTACATGAATCCCTGCTGATGGATTTGAAACTTATCTTCAGCAGTTCATCCTGGAGACCACATAATCTCACAAAGAAGCTGATTAGTAGTTTTTTTTAAATCTCACTCATGAACCATGAGAAAACGAGAAAAGTGGCAAAGTTACATTCACTACTTCTATGAATGAATGAACAGAAAACTTTATTTGCCTCTTTTCAGTTTTCACAAGGCATAACCAGAAGTCAGAACTCCAGTATCTACATCTAAGAAGTCCATTTGTTTCTCAAGAACAACATTAGCGCATTGTAAGCTATTTTCTGTCCGCGGTTATAGTGTGGAATTTTTTGTCAGATTCCAGATAAAACCCAATGAAGCAGGGATTGAATAAATTATTGATGGAAAATTTGAGAAAAAAATTGTTTGCCTGTTGAGAAAGGAAATATTGTTTTGCAGCCAGGATTTTTGAAGTCCCGCGCGGTGATGAATGATACATTATTGACAAAAAAAATTAGGAACTTTTGTTGTGGCTGTTGAGAATCGAAATATCGTTTTTCCAGCCAGAATTTTGGAAGTTCCGGTGAATGATGGACCAGTCAGCATGCTGCTGTTCCGAAATAACCACGCAGCAGTCAACACTCAACACCATGCCCCTTCTCTTGCTCTTATTGCCACCCCGCGCCAGCACTTCCTACTTGATCCTATACTGGAAGCCAACAACTGCATATGATGAGGGCTGGGTATACTCAGCATTTCCAGCACATCAGCCCCGATTTGATCAATACATTTTTATGACACTTACAAATTGATGTAATGGTATATTATTCGGAAAATATCAGCATGTTTAACCGTGTGCTTATGCTTGAAGACAAAAGGCAAAAAATTCTTCCTGCCTTAATGTATTTGGAGAAATAAAGAAAATGGTAGTGTTGGGGTCTTTGTCAGGCATAGATTTTGAAAGTTGAATTTTGCCAGGATGATTTGCATACTGTAACGCAGTATTCTTGCATTTTTTCATCTATAAATATATTTTTGTAACCCTTAGTCAGATCTGCCAGGATTTATTTGCACAATTTTGTGCCACACACAAAAGAAAATAAATAATAAAAGACCCAGCATGAACTGAAGATCCCAATTGGGGAAAAATCCTTTTTTTTTTTAGCATTTCAGCAGAAAACATTTTGTTTAAAAAAATCAGTTCCTGTTGCTTGGCTTTTTTCTGCAATCCTGCTATAGGATTACCATTTGATGGATTATAAAAGATGCCCCAATTTTTCATCTTGAACTTTTGATGCAATCTTGTCCCCAAGCATGACTTCTATCCCATTTTCAATAACTGAAAACTATAATATCTGAAACATAAGAGACACCAGAATTCAAATTTGAATGAGAAGTCACCCTGAATTTAATTAATTTTCAAATTGTTTTAACATTTGAAAATTAAATCCTGTTGAAGATTCCCCATTATATTCAGATGCAGCTGCCAATTTAAACTTCTATAATTTTTAAAATTGCATCCATGCCTATGATGTGCACTGCTTTTATACCTGCTCAATTTGAGAAAAATAGTGCATGTGGTACTCAAGCAAATGTGCTGTATATAATCAAGTACCACAAACCCTCCAATGGGACTGGTTTGTGTAAGATTTTGATACCATTCCCAGGTTCTTTAATGTAAAATGTTGATATCATTCTATGCCAGAGTTAGGCATGCACTTTATTTGACTCTAGAACTTGAATTTTCAAAAATTGGACAATTCAAAATGTAAATTCAGATACAAATTGAGCCTGAATTCAACTAATTTTCAATTTTATCCATTAAACAGTGTTTTCCTGTTAAATTTACTCCAGAATTTCCCAGTAGAATCACTTATGATGCACACCTAAATTTCGAGAAAAAAAACATTTTTTATAAGTATATACCCACCTATGACATGCACCCTCTTTATTCCCCTCACAATTGATAGAAAGAAATGCGTGTGGTACTCAAGTACGGTAAATATGGCAATAATTTTCTTGCACTGTACTACTGCGCATATTGTATTAAAGCATGGGTTCAAGCGTGAGTTGCGCGCCATCTTGCGCCCCACTCAGCAGTCGCCCACATTAAGACCCGAATATATGAATGCACACACTACGCCGTATTGTCGAATTGGAATTTGAGCTTTGGGAAAAGGCCGCCCTTATCTCACTGCCGTAAAAAAAAAAAAAAAACCCCCGGCCAGATGTCCCACACGTGTTGAGCTATACCCGGTCGCCTGTCCGCCAGTCGCCCTCCCCGGCGACCACCTGATGGTCGGGCACGTGCTGCGAGGTCCGACGTGACATAACTCGCGCGGCGGCGGCTGCGGCGGGACGCGCCGCCCGATACCGTATAGCAACCCCTTGACATTGGACCCGAGCAAGGTCGGGCGGAGTGTGATGATGACCCCACACTCACTCCAGCCAGCAGGGCAGCGCGTCGCCATCAACATCATCATCATCGTTATTATTATTATTATCACGCACGAACGCGAGAAAGAGAGAGAGAGAGAGCGAGAGAAAGAAGGAAAGAAATACTGTACAGAATGAGGGAGAAAGAAAGAGGAGCTGAGAGGCGAGGAATAGGCGTTCAGAAAAATACTCACCAGGCACATGCTTCGTATATACATCTGTTTATTACTACATTTTTCTTTTATAGACAAGTGTCGGTTTTTTGTTATTGGCAGGTATAGTTCTAAATACAGTACACTTACAGGGTGGGCCAGAAAAAAAAGGGGACTGATTTTCACCTCACAATAGCTCAGTAACAAATCAAGCTATGGGAATGAAGAAAAAATCCCAAATGAAAGCTTCCTTTTGAATGGTATATAGTTTTATGGCCCCCAAGTGCCACAGTGTGGTCACAATGAGAGCAATTATTGGAATGAAAATTTTCAGAAAAAGTTGTCAAGCATGAAAAATGCCCCATTTTCAGTGACTGAAAACTAAATTATCTCAAACATAAGAGACGCCAGAATTTAAATTTGAACAAGAAGTCAACCTGAATTGAATTAATTTTCAACTGGTTTGATATGAAAATGTCCCATTTTATTCAGGTGTGGCGTCCATTTAAACTTCTAGCCTTTTTTAAAACTTCTTCCACAAAGCTGCTGTTCTCCAGAGCTCTTTTTAGGGATAAATGAGATGTAGAACCAGTAATTTAAATTGCACACTTCAAGCTGTCTTCAAGAAGGTGAACACAATCCAAACATTTAAGGAGGTGGGGGTGAGAAGTGAAACCATTAAATAGTGGAAAAGCTTTCACTTGGCCTTTATTTCATTGCCATGCTTAGCTTGATTTGCTTGTGAGCTATTTTGAGCTGAAAATTGGTTCACTTTTTCTGGCCCACCCTGTACAGTATATCCCTGCTTAATATTTCCGTGGGATTCGGAAGTACAGTACAGTACAGAGCAAGTCTGGAACTGAATTTAAAAAAATATCAAGGGACCAGAAGAAAATTCTTTGTTGAGCGAATTTAATTCGTAGAAAACTCCCGTAACACTACTTTCTTGTCAAAGAAAAGACTTTTCGTGTTTGATGAACTTTTAATGTCGTACCAGTCAGATGCCCACATTTTTGTGCAAATTATGCACAAAATCAGGGAAAACTGAGATCATAGAGTGATGTGCTCGTTATAATGTTATTATTGCGACGTATTTCCTGGAAGAAACTGCTAAGACCCCTGAACAAATTCGCTATAATGAAAACTGCCTATAATACGATTTTTTTTTTGGGATGGAATTCCGCTGTTTTTCCGCACAGCATTCTGTGCTTCATAAGCCTAATAACAGATCTTGACCCAAAAAATTTAAATCGATTGAAATACACTGCTCAATTGGGAATATGGTGTGCCTTCTTAGAGAGAACCCTACTGTACGAGTCCAAAAGAATCGTTATACAGAGTAAATTGTGGTACACAACATGGGTGTAGAGAGAGCCCATCTGCATAAAATGGTGCTTCATGCTTCCTAATGCATACTACAAATCTTTTTGTGGTTTTTAGTTATGGTTGTGACGGCAGTTGCATGGAAAAAGCCTTTATACTTTTATCTATAAATTGTATGAAGTAATAATGCTAGGGTTCACGGCCCAGAAAGTGGGATTTCAGCTCTCCTGCTTGAATATCTTTAATTCGCTCACTCGAATTCCACTCAATTGAATAAGAAGAGCAAGAAACGCCACAACCGACACAAAAACTGAAGAAAAATGATTTTTTCAGCATCAAAATTGAAATTAAAATGAACATGAAACTTTATGAACAACATAATACTGTGCATGCATCACATATGATCAAAATTGAAACTTTTTTAAACGGGAAAAGTATAATTGTGGAGGCGTGTTAAAAATATGTCTATGTCTAATATAATCAAGATGCAGTACTTTTGCACAGCAGTATCTACAATTGAAAAAGCCCATTCAATCACATTCATCATTGATCTGAACATAGAAAATCGAAATTTTATTGTACTTGTGCACTAAATCCACTCCTGTTCCGAACTTTGCAACGGGTTGGAAAAACAGGATGGAAATAAATATATTTATGTGGATTTTTAATGCATTTACCGCATAAAATTTATTCATTTGAGCCTATTCACCACGCCTCCGAAAGTAAAGAACACATTGATAATTTCCGATAGCGTAGCTTCTGTAATAAAATAATCTTACCCTGAAAAGAATCGAAAATATGGATGTTAAATCTTCTAATTTAATGCACGACAAAGCCCTTTCTTCGCGAGATTTTCAAGGAAAGAGGAAGTGAATTGAGTTACAGACCATATTTTACGAGGCTAAAAGTATACAATACTCATAAATAAAATACGCCGCCTATTTTGGAGCAAAATTCATCTATATTGTAGTACTGTATCTGGTTTCACGGTAGAACAGGTCTGTGAGGTACTATTATAACTTTGAAATTCACTTCCTCCTTGTCCACATTAAGGCATGAATCGTAAAAATTTCTCAACAAAAATATTTCAATGAATCGCCCTGATGTTCGGTCTAATAATAAATCTTTCCAGAATTTTTCCTCTTGCAACGTTTACTGAAAATGAATTTTGTTCGTTTCGCCGAAAAGTTTTCCAGTTATGAAGGTCGAATTCCTAGAGGTTTTGGTGCATTGCACGAACTCCTTGATAATTTCCTGAATGTAACATAGAGTGTATGGAAAACATTTATTCGTTCTTTCATTGCTTCATTCAAAAAAAACTAACGTCAAACTACTAAAAATGAGTACCCAATGCATTTTGATCTAAAACGTAAGACTTTTCCCTTTGATACACTTTTACTTGAAAAATGCATCTGAACAGTAAGCTTTCCTCTAAGAGCATTTCAAACAGTTTTTTTCATATTACAGTATTCCCTGCATAATTAAGCAAAAGAAGAACAAAAATCATTTTGGAAAGGGATAAGATAATACAGTTAGACCCCCACATGCGGACACCTTGACCTCCAGACAATTTGGCATTGGGGCACTTATTTTCCAATAAAAATTTAATAAAATAGGCCCAACATGAGGACACTGACTCAACATAGGGACATTTTGTGATAAAATTGCAAATGCATTTAGGCGATATTACAAGAAACAGATACTTCCAACCCTAAAATTGATGCAAGAAAAGTACTTGGCCATTTCTCTGACCAATTTACCATCCATTTACCTAATTTAAAAAAATTACCTCCGGCAGAGAAGGACTTCTTCCTCTTTTTCACTTGAATGTTATTTTTACAGAGAATCCCAACATTTCTATCTACTCTACAGAGGTATCAGAATTAAATTCCCCAAATGTCCATATTGTGTTGAAATGCATTGATTGGCATCAGTTTAAATTGGGAGGCAATTTTTATATTCATGGAATTATAGTGAGTATTTTTTTTTACATAAAACACCAATCAAAAATTATATGATGTAAGTTTGAGGGAAAATGAGACTCAACTTAGCGACATTACAACTTAGGGACACTCTTGATGCACCAATTATGTCCAAATCTTGGGGTCTCACTGTACTACTGTCCATATTGCAGCCACATGAAAGAGGGAGGGGGGGGGGGGGTGAGAGGCAAGAAAATAAGTTCATTAGGTAAGTAACTTTTCTGGAGTTCTGCAGTTTTTATGCAGTTATTTTTTCATCAGGTGAAGTATTTTTGATCCATGGCACCACTGAATTTGGCAATTCAATGATGCCAACCAATGGATTTTTTCTGGTCCCATAATTTTGTTGTAGAGAGAGTCCACCTGTATACAACAGGTGGTACCTTGCAATTTGACAATCCTGCAATGTGTTTTTGTATTCATATTTTAAAATTTAATTAAGTGTCTCGCAATTTGACTGATTTGCTATTTGACCCTATAGTTTGGCAATGGATTATGGTCAAACTGAGAGGTACCACCTGTATCATCTAAGCGCATTTTATGTCTGGCCAATCAGAGATTTATTTATATGAGGTTCAAATTATTCACATACATGGTCCTGACCATCCCTGTTATCCAACTGGCCAATGTTTTGAGGATGGGCTGTTTTCTTTCAGGATATTGAGAAGAAAGTGTTCATTTCTCCTAGAAAAACTTGGCTTGAATGTTACTATTTTGCTGGGGGCACTGATAATTCGTGGTCAACATTTTTGAAATAGGAAATTGATTCTCTAAGTTTAATTATTAAAACTGTCCATCTCTGGCTGAGCACCTCAATTTGGAATTTTCTTATCGTGGAAAAGCCGCGGATAAATAAATCGCTTACTCCGGGAATCAGATTAGAAACTTTTTCGAAGTACTCCAACACGTAACCTGTCAAGTATCAAATCACATCGTTATTTTTAAGGGAGTCGAAGTCTATTCAGGAAACCATCTCAAGTATTATAGCAGGTCAGCAAAAAAAGTCAGTCGGAATTGTACTTTGCATAAATAAAAAGAAGATACGAATGGGAGCACAACGTGCAATTTGAAGCGGTACAGTGTTGCTAGAACGACCTCAATCGGACTTGAGACTGTTCTGAAGCACGAAACGAAGTGATTTGAAACATGAGTCCCAATCTACCTTATTTATTTACTTATTTATCCATTACTTATTCATTAATTTATTATTTTTTTGCTTCTTTTCGTTCAGGGACAAGAATAATGGCCAGTAGTTACTTCCTGCATCATTTTGCAATCCGTCCATCGATTCTTCGAGATATAGAGAAGAAAGAAATCATTGAATATTTCTTGAATTACTCTGGAAAGAATGCCAGAAGTACGAAAGTAATGTTTGGATTTTCTGTTCGTTACTAGAAGAAGAAGAAAAAGGCTTGTCAAAGCAATTTGTTAAGATAAGAAGACAGTGCATATGTCAAGCGACTTGAATTTTCTGGAACAACATCTGTTTAGGTACTCCGCGTACTCGAATCATAGAAAACTGAGAAAAAAATTCCATTACGATGAAAATTTCATTAAGGAATTTGTTTAGGGTCCCAGCAGTTTTTTCAGTTTCTTCATAGATAGGAACTATAGGTGGACTCTCTACAATGATCTTGTCTACAACAATTTTCTCGGTATTCGATGAGTTTTTGTGGTAGAGTTCACTTCACATGTTATACAGTTCTCTGCAACAAAAATTGTCCCCAATGAACTATTTCCTGGTCTCTGTAGATTCTTCAGTTATAGAGAGTTGATCTATTAAATAAGCAATAATCTGATTATAACCAGCGAATTTTCGATTTTGTAAATATGACATAACAATCGCTTTATAATTTTCTGTAAAATGGGAATATCTGACTGCATGGTGCAGCTTTACAAGGTAATCAGAATAGCAAAGCATTACAAATATTCTAGCAGAAAATGCACACACAAATATTTCATGAAGAATTTATTTATTTTCTCTGAGGAATTTATCCATATACTGCTCTTTTCTGACAAATGAAGAGTAAGTTAAATATAATACAGTAGTGGTTTTCCTGGGTTCTTGTCCTCGTGGTGATGCGGTCCACTCGACACACGTGAATGCAAATTTCACCTGCAATAATCAAAATCTATCGTCCCTTCGTATAAAGCCTGCATGTACATGAGGGAAGGTTTTATCGAATAAGAATGATTCATTGTTATAAAAATAGCTCACTATGGTACGAAACCCTTGATTGTGTCAACAAATAGCAATGTCACTTGGATACTATCGATAGCATATAGCTTGAAACACGCTGGAATGAGAAGATGAGATGGAAATGAATCCTCGCTGGATTACAAATTAATAATAATAATAAATAAGCTCGGACTCGATTGCAGTGTGAAGGAATTGGTTATAAGAGAGAGAGAGAGAGACAGAAAGCTTTGGGATGTTCGGGTGAGGATCGGACATTATCACTCATCACAATCGAATCGCCTATTATAGACTTCCTGGTTTTGGTTTAAGCTGGAGTTGTGACAAAGTTTCGTCTCAGAAATTTAAAATACAATTGCAGTTGTAAGAATTAATGAAGAATCAACGCAAAATTCTCAAATCTCTTGTATTCAGTCTCTCTCTCTCTCTCTCTCTCTCTCTCTCTCTCTCTCTTTCGCGGTATCTTTACTTTTGTGTGACTGTTAATAAGTCTTTGAGTCCTCTTTCCATCTCTCCATGTCTATCTTTCTCCCTCTATGTCAGGTTATGTCTCCTTGTCTCCCACTTTGTCTATGTAAGTCTATAGAGCATTTCTCTCTCTGATTCGGTCTATCTTTATAATTCTGCCTTTCTCTGTAATTCTGTCTCTCTTCTTAATTGTTTCTCTCTAATTCTGTCTCTCTCACTAATTGTGTCTCTGTTTTTCTCTGTAATTCTCTCTCTCTCTCTCCCCCTCTCTCTCTCAGCAATTGTGTCTTTTTCTCATCCCCTGCTTCTGTCTCCTTCTGTACCACTGTCTCTATCTCAATAAAATTGTTCCAATGGTGATACTGTATAACATGTGTAACGACACTTGTCATTATTGTCCCAGGTGACCATCTTTAAATGCGTGAGTCAAATTTTCAAAAAGAGAATAGGTAAACTGAATTTGGTGTGTTTTTCTGAATATTGTCTAAATGTAAGAGATGGAGTCAGCCTACATTTTCTGATAATTGTAAGCAAATTATCCAAGTGACACCTGCGAAACAAAAAAAGTTCTGCTACCAAGCTAACCTAAAGACACTTTTAGAAAAAGTAAGATGATCGGTTTATCTGATGATCCAAACTACACGTTTTGTCTCGAAATGGATCGATCATGCTTACAGATTTTAAAACTTCATCAACCAGGCTTTTTTGAACAGGATTTTGAGAGATGGCGAGCAGTTTTTTTTAACTCAGTTCTCGCCTTGACTCGGCGGCACAGAAAAATGCCCTTCTTCGTGAGTATCAAAATCATTTGCAAAGCAAACTTGTGTTAAATGAGATCTTTCGAAGACTGATTAATATCGAAGCTGGCCAAGAGAACCAAAACATAAAATAAAGATCGAAATGTTCAGCTTCAACTCAGTCTCTTCCATTAATCCCAGACATTCGAAGACTTTGGGTATCGAATGCCCATAATTACCTTAACTCAAGCAGATAACTCAAAATTGTGTCAATCGACCTGAAACATTTATTCTCTCGATTCGTGACCATCATTAATTAATTAGCTTTTGTGAAAATCAAGAGAATACCGAGTAAATATTCTCGTGAACTTCGAGCGACAAATACAACTTTCATGAAGCCCCTCTTGATTAAAATTCCAAAACAAGAAGCCCTAGACCACATAAAACCCAACATTGATCCCATGTGCTGTTTTTGCACCAGGTGCTTGTCATCAATCGTAATTTCAGATTATTATGAAGCTGGCATTCACCTTTTTTTTTTTTTTTTACACGTACAAGTCTTGTGGTTAAACGCCCAAGTTTAACCCCAAACCGAAGATGATTATCCCTATTAACAATTTGTGGGAAATGATGCAACTTGTGACGTACCATGTGGTCATGATCCCTTTGCCTATCTAGAGGCAATCATGATCAGTCAAACCTCTCTAAGTCAAATTTCAAGGGATCGACCAGCAAAAAAATTTGACGTAAGGAGGTTTTGAGTTATAAAGGTTTGAGCTACGGTAAAAATCCCTTTTTTCTGGAAAACTGCCCAAAATTGTAAAAGGTGATATTCTGGTGCTTTAATGGCTTTTTAAATAAGTACACAGGATGTTGTACTTGGAGGCAGGGGTTCATTTGCAAAATTCACCTCTTTCAAAACACCTTAACTTATGTTTTTATTGTTATTTTTTCTTTCTTGGGTAAGGAAAATAATGGTCAACAGGCCACAGAAAATTCGACTTATGCAGGTTTAAGGGTAAAAGCATTCGACTTAGGGAGGTTTTTTAGGTATTGCTTCTAAGGGGATTCCGATTGGGCCCTGAAAAAAATATCGAGTTAGGGTGGTTTTCAACTTGGGGAGGTTTGAGTTATAGAGGTTCGCCTGTACTCGCAAAAATAAAGTCATTCTGTGCCTCTTAAAATGGGTAAAAATAAGTCGTTAATGCTCATGTATTTTTCGAAAAATTTCTGAACAGCCTACTGAACGTCGGCATTTTAAGAGTGTGTCATTTTTGTGATTAGTACAAATGCAGAACAGTACATCAATGCCAAGGATTTTCAACCAGTGGTGGGGGTACCACTGGTGGTACTCGTGATTATGCCCGGTGGTGCCTGCGATTTTCCTTATCTGGCATAAGCAGGCCTCTTGATAAGTGTTGGAAGATGATTGCAATGTCCACTGTTTTTCTGAGATTGATTCACATCTTTAATTCTGGAAAAATGGTGTAATAGTTAAGAACTTCCTATCTAGAATTTCGTCTTGTTTTCCTAGAGAGACTTCGGCTCTCGAATTTTGCGCTATTTCGAAATTCTCCCCCACAGGCAATCCAAACCACTTAACTTGAAGTTTCCTCATGAAATGGCGAGGGAACTTTTTCGGATGTTTTCCTCCTGCTGAGAAACTGCGTGTTTTATTTTATCCCGGACAAAAAACTGATACCTTCTGGAATTGAGTTAAAGCAACGTGGGAAATTCAAGAGGTGTTATGCAACTTATTGGAAAATCATTCTAAGAAAATTTTGTTCATGTGTGAATTTTTTTCCCCAAATACAAAAAAGGTCGAGAAGATGCTCTGAAAATTGATTCGACACCGCAGGTTATTTTTCCTCCATTAAAAAAATAGGTTCTTTTATTCTCGCACACACAAAATCCACTCGCTACACGACGACGACGACGACCGTCGACACCCCTTCAAAAAAAAAAGCCAATCCAAAAAAAACATGACACACAAGACGAAATCATCGCATCGTCAGGTGGGTTGACATGGTGCCGAAAGTAACCTCGGGCGAAACATAATGAACAGCAGGGGGATTCGGGGATTTCTTTCCTTCACGACGAAAAATCACTGTCGCAAAAACCGAAAAACCCCGAACACACACAAAAAAAAATAAAATCCTTCACGATTTCAAGCTTCCTTTTTTTCCTTTTTCCTTCTTGCTTCGCCTTCGTTGTTTTGCTTTGTTTCCTTTTGAAGTGCCTCGAATCGTAAAAACTGTGGTTTCCTCTTTTTTCGCTTATTTATTTATTTAATTTTTTTTTCTCTTGTGGGATGATGAGGAAATTCACCGTGATCCCCGCCATGTGTTGCAGGTGTGTCGGTAAAGGCCTGTCGGGTCAAGGGGGTCTTTTTTCCCGCTTCTCTGTCTGCTCCAACCTTTGAAAAATTCAAAGAAAAATCCACATTCAAACAACCGAAAGAAATCAACTTCTTAATCATTCTTCCTTATTATGGATCATTATCATGAACAACTTTTTAAGAGGGCCAAGGAATTAAGAACTTAACCTCCGTGAGCATATTTTTAATTAATGTGATTCCGAGTTCGTATACAGTATTTTAATTGCCTACTTTTGCAGGATTAATGGCTAGTATTCGCACTACATGTACCTCACTGAAACGTCGAAGTAATTTTTATTCTGCTGAAGAATGGTCTTAAAGATTTTTGGACAAAGCTAAAAAAATGTTTCAAGCTTGTAAAAACCACTGAAAATTGGCGGGTTTGACGAAGAAAAAACTCTAGTTCAACAATCCAGGGCGATAAAATTGATTTAAAAAAAAATATATATATATAAGCACGTGAAAAAATTTATCTTGGAGAATTATTGGGGAGCATCTCGCATATATACACCTCATTTAAACTGACAAAAAAAAAGATTGAAGAAATTGAAATGCCTCACATTCTACCATTTTACCGGCAACCCTGTTCCACACAGAACCTAGGTGTCGACAACCGACTGATAGGGTTACACGCAAGTTGCTCGAGAGCTCAGTAAACAAGCCCGTGTATCGTACAAATAAGCAGGGCAAAAAAGTTGAACGCCCTTTTAGTATGCCTCGCACAAATGTATTCAGGAAATGCTCTATTTCCACGTACCACAGATTCTTTTAATCTTTTTTCCTTTCTCGGGGCAACACACAAATATATTTTAATCCCAGCATGAAAACGTCGACACCAGGGTTTAGTATCTGATGCAAAGAAAGGAATCTTGGACCAAGAAAAATTCTCTTTGAATGCTATCCCCCCTCCCCGTCGTACTTGTGGGGGTCAAGTGCAAACGTCGAGCGTCTCGCAAATATTCGCACAAGCGGGAAAAAACCTCGCGTTGTTACAATTGACACTCGTGTCGACACGGGGGGATTTTTTTCCGTCAATATTAAAAACAAGTAAAACAGGGACTCACTTGCTGTTGATGAAGGTTCAGGAGAGGTTCGGTGAGCGATGTCGGTTGAACTGTATGCCATTATTCAACCCCCAGTTTTTCTTCTTTCGTCGGCAGGAGAAAAAGAAATCGTGGTTTTGTTGCGCGACTCAAGAAAAAATAATAATAACCCCAAGAACTTCTGGCAGAAGATCCAGGAATTCACGGTCTTTCTCCTTTTTATTTCCAGTTGTTTTCTTCAGTAAAGTCCAGTCGGATCCAGGGTTGCCATCTCGGTTACGATGTTTTCTTGTTTCGTTTTGTTTCGTAAGATGAAAAGGACAAACAGTGACTCTCAAGAAGACGTGTGTACAACGACACGAAGACTTTCCGGCGGATCGATCTGCGGTTTTAGTCGGAAGCGTTAATTGCACGAATTTGTCGTGAAATAATGACGACAATTATAGGTTTATGTGCACAGGACGGATTCAGTGACGACACAGATCGATCGACGTTGTCTGCAAAAAATTAGGAAAAAAATACATGCATCCATTAAAATCATTCGAAGAGCTCGTCTAAATGAAACATGATCAAAAGAAACCCCCGAAGTATTTTCTAACGAAAACTATTACAGTCAGTTAAAACTCTGCTCGCAAAAATTAAACAAAATTTAAAAAAAACCAAAGCATTTTTCAGCGAAAAATATTATAGTCATTCCACCACAGACAATGTGACAACCTAAACTTTGTTGAAACCCTTTGAAAAGTTGAACAGATATTCTTTTTAATTCACATTTAAAAAAATTGAGGCAATATTCCTGCCAAGAAAGTATTCGTCTTGGCGGAAAAATATTCGAGCGAGCTTGACCAAAAACCCTGAGACAACGATTCTCTGATAAATATTCTGCAAATCGAACGCTCATCGTTCACGATCAGCAAAATTGAAAAAAAATACGTTTGTTACAAAACTTCCTGGAAAAATATTTCGTTAGAAAAATAAAATCGTCACTGTCCATATATCACTGCTAGATATTTATATATAATCCGCAATTCACTCCAGAGACAAAACTTGTTCGAACCGCAAAAAAAAATCAGACGCTCAGCAATTGAAACAAAATGAAATCCCCAACTCGGGACACCACTTCTTGGAAGAAAAGGAAAAACAAGTATTCATATTTGTAAAGATATTTCTTTTCATATTGCTGGGAGGATTTCGTTGCACGTTTATCAGTCAAACTTCGCAATTCCGTACTCGTATTTAAAAATAAAGAAAAATATTTGAATATTACAGAGTACGGAATAAACGGTGGTTCCAGCTCTTGCTGTGTGGGTTTCCCCCCTCTCCCCGATGGCTGGGACCACCGCCACCACCACCACCTTCCACCTCGGACGGTGGTTTCCCTCCGAATGCCGCTTAGCAGCCGAGGTGCCTTTAATCCCCGTCTGCGGCCTGGTGGAGGGATGGAAGGGCGGACAAGGGAGAGGGAGGTGCGAGAAACGAGGAAAAGAACCCTAAGGAACCGTCCGTCGTGGCTCCTTCTCATGCATCGGCCCCGCGGTGCCATCATCAGTCCCTCGCGGGGTACCGTAGGGGTCGCCTTGCGCCGAGAGGTTCGTGAGGAAGAAACCCTCTCGCGAGCGGGGTTCCTCCTGTGCTGTGTGTAACGGACCCACTTGCTCATCATCATCCCTTTTCATTTAAATGTAAATATATATATTTTTTAAATGTATATTTATATTTTCTTTTTTCATTTCTTCGCTTATTACTGGTGCTGGGAATGAGTTTAAAAAATGCTTTTGTTTTCCCGAGGGAAAAACAAAAATGTGGGACTCGTGACCAGAAAGGTGTGGATTGTTCCAGAGTGAAGCTTTCTCTCTCTCTCTTTCTTGGAAAAGGGGGGCTGCTGGAAATTCAACAGGGATTCAAAGAATGTAATTAAGCGGAGTTTGAGAGAGAGAGAGACTTTCGACGCTGTAATTTTTGGAACATTTTCTTGAACATAGCTTTCCTGCTTTAAATTGTTCGACATGCATGACTTCGTACTGTAAAATAAGTGAAAAGCTGCCAGTACATGTCAACTGTGATCACAAGAGTTGAGAGAGAGAGTTGGCAGAGATTGTCAGCGAGTAATTAATCAAATTTTCAACAACAACAAAATGAAATGCACGCTTGATCAGCTAATCTGACAATAAGAAAACAATTGACATTCTCTATCGATAAATCAAAAATTCTTCAATTGAATTCATATAGTTTCTTGGTCAAATTTAAAAATAAATATTTGCAAAAATTTCAACTATAAGTATTAAGCATGGCTCTCGGTCCATGTTCAGGGCCTACCTACATGAAACGCTTTATGCTTCAAGTTCTTTAAACTCTCTCATGTGAATTATTTCAACTAAAATTTCTGGTTGTTTAATTATAATGAACTGCTGTATATGATCTTCACGGATTCGTCTATAACACACACAAGGAATGAATATCAAATTCTTTCTTCCAAGGTTTTGCTCTTGTTCTATTATTGTTTGCTTTTGAATACTAAACTCAGATTTCTGAGAATAACATTAAATTTGAATATTTATCTGAAAATAGAGGCAACTTTTCCTACTAGGAAAACCGTGTTCTTCCGGTGGGTCTTCCAAAGAAGGACCAGGAAACATTGCTTTTCCGTGTTGTTCACAATGACTTCCGAACGCGTTTTTTTTCCTAGGAAAATTAATAAAACAGTCCCTCACTTGCTCTTTAACAAAACACGGCCACACAAATGTGGGATAAAGTTCTCTGAAAAACTCATCCACTTGTTGAGAATTATAAGATTATTTTGACCCTTTTTTGTTGGTATACTCATACTGTTGGTATACTCATCTGTCAAAGAATTTATCCAGTATAATAATTAAAAAAAAAAATCAGTTTGAAACACTCCGGATTTTTTTCAAGATCCAAAAATTTGGCGAACGCAGCTAGTTGACAATGAAAATATGAGAAGATTTTTAGAAGGAACGCCAAAATTCATGCGTTCAAAACAGAAAATTCGTCTTAAACGGTTTGAGCCACAAATCCTGAAAATTTAAAATTTAACGGGAATTCATTCGATTTCGAATGAATTCCCGTCGATTTCGAATGAATACTATTCCACGAAACAAAATTATATTCGAACGTGGAACCCATGGAAAAAAATTATAAAAAAGCACGTGACAAAGCTTCCACATAAATGCTTTAGAAAATAAGTTTGACGAGCTGCTATGTTTACTCAAGCGTGGAAACCACGACGCGAACGATAAATTATAAAAAAAAAACCACTTGACAACGTTTTCACATGTAAAATGCTTTAGAAAATAAGTTTGTCGAGTTTGTCGCTATGTCATTAGAAATATCTGCATAGAAAAATTCAGCATTCAAAACGAAATCGAATAAATTCCCGTTAAATTTGTAATTTTCAGGATTTGTAGCTCAAACCGTTCAAGACGAATTTTCTGTTTTGAACACATGAATTTTGGCGTTCCTTCCGAATATATTCTCATATTTTCATTTTCAACTGCGTTCGCCAAAATTTTTGGATCTTGAAAAAAATCTGGAATGTTTCAAACTGATCTTTTTTAAAATCATTATATACTGGATGAATTCTTAACGAGTGATGCTTTTCCTGGAATTATTCCATTTTTTTCAGGTTCATTCCTTAGATATGAACATATGATGCATCTATGAAGGTTGAAAAACAATTTTTAGAACAGTTTCTGAAGCAACAATATCCCGTCAACTCATTGCAGAGTTGCATACTTGAAAACCTGGAAGAAATTAAGTGCATTCCTGTCGAATTTTTCTAAAAAATTCTAATGGTTTTTACAGTTCATGGAAATTTCCGTTTCGAACATGTAAATTTTTACCCCAAACGTTGCGATGAATCATTTCGTGAATCACTTTCAATAAGTATTTTTCTTTATTCGAAATTTCAACAACAAAAAAGGCGAGCGCTGAAGAGGAACATAAATGAAGGTGACACTAAACAAGCTTTGGATGATGTTCGATTTTTTTTTTAAACAAGGTGAACAATTGGACATATATGCTTGTGGGAGTCCATCCGTCGACGCCGGGATTCTCGACACGCAACTTTGAGAAATCACGAATGCGTCGTTTCCCACACGTCACTCGACCCGACGTGATCACGTTCCAGAATGCTGTTATTGTCAATGAAAAAAAAAAGATGAGTTATATACTAATGATGAACTACCAGAAATAACTTCAGATCTTATACTGTATTTATGATTTCTTCAAAGAAAAGCGTTAAAAAAAACCCAGCCGGTCGCATGTAAAGTAATATTCCTCAATATGGGGTGTTGAAGAATTTCTCAAGTTGAAATTTTATTTTGGATCCGGAACTTTAGAATTGAGCGCCAGATTCAGCATTTATTTAACATGAAGAATTGCCGTTTGCTGCAGATTCAGAACGTGAGTTTGTTGCATGAAAAAATGTAATGATGAAGCAGCCAGTTTTAAAGTCTGGCAATTATTGCTGATGGGATTTTTTGATTATCAGAACACATTTTCCTCCTATACCTATGGAGGTCTCAAACTTTTTTTTGACAAAGAAACTGGTGAAACTCATTACTATTTACGGGAATTAATTTAATCTTGGTCGCCAGATATTTATTGGGTCATTCAAGGGCAGAAATAGATCTATAAAAAATGCTTTTACACCAGGTGGTCTCTTCTTACAAAAAATTCAAGAGACCAGAAAGAGATCGTTATGCAGAGGAAATTGTCGAAGACAAGATTGTTGGAGAATGAGCCAATCTGAGACCCGAAAAATTATGTTTAACAACAATTTTTTTTGTAATTGAGCGTTAAATTTCATTGTGGGTTTACTTCAGGCAATATCTCAAAAAATCACCAAAATGATTTATAACTTTTAGCAACAGGGTTTTTTGGAATCCGATTCGAACTACAGTATACTGTACACTATGTACAGTATAAATCCGTGTGCAATTTCTGTACCTTAGACACCTCGAATTAACAAATTTCTCCGCATAATGCCACAAAATTGAATACATGTACATCATATATATTTTTTCTGGCCACAGCAGTTCTCTCTATTTGCAATTTATTGGGCACTTACATCATCGTTATAGTCTTATATAAAGTATTGCAGTTCATGCAAAATTGCTGTTAACTTTACCAAAATGCTCTATAATTAATAAGCAACAAAAGGCCCTCCCTTCAACAAATTTTATCCAAGTAAAAAGATCCTTAGATGTAGGATTAACCATGCAATCTTTTTTTTTCAGAAAGGTTTTCTACGAATGTTAATGGTCCAGTGCATTTGTAAAACAACATGATTGAGCTGCTGCTCTATACTGAGAGGATTAACCTATCAAGCTTTTTGAGTTGACAGTTGAGTTTATCAAATGTTCAAATCCAACATGGTTATACTTTATCTTGTTGACGTGGACTGATTGGACTTGATGCTTTCATTGTTGCCTATAGGAAGGAGATGAGTGATCAGGGGGTGTAGTCCAAAAGTTCCCCCCCTGCCAAAAGCCCCCCTA